TGAAAATTTTCACATTTTTCACGTTTTGAAGGTTTCTGAACATTTTGCCATACCTCACGATATATATATATATATATATATATATTCATATATATATATATATAAAATTATATAAAAAAAATTATAATCCGTATTTTTACTGTCTAAATATAACCTGAACTTTAACATTCATTTTGGGTAATTTCTACAAGAATAAGCCTTTTTGCTGTAGATTACATGGCAACCCTCATCATAACATTGATAAGACTTGATTCTATTTATATAATTTTTATCCTATTATATTAATTATTTAAAACGATTTGCATGAATGTTTAAAACTCATTACCTTTCCGTAGGGTAAGTTATTATAATCGTCCGAAAATCGAAATTGAAAATTTTCACATTTCTTCACGTTTTGAAGGTTTCTGAACATTTTGGCATACCTCAGAAAAATGGATGTGTGTGTATGTATGTATGTATGTATGTATGTATGTATGTATGTATGGATACAATTTTTTGTCCAAGTTCTCAGGCGCACGGATCAACCGATTTGAATGGTTCAAAAAACATTCGCTTCCTATTGATAAGGAGACGTGATGATTAGTTTTTGGTAAAGGCAGGTCGAGCCGTTTCGGAGATACAGAACAATGAGTGCAGAAAATAGAAATCGAGTTCTTGATAGAACGGTTCATCCGATTTCAATGATCTCAAAAACATTCAATTTGTACTGACAAGGAGAAGTGGTGGTTATATTTTGACAAAGACAGGTTCAGTCGTTTCAGAAATACCGAGCTAAATATGCAAAAAATAGCAGTTTTTGCGAGAACTAAGCATCTGATTTGAATAATTCAAAAAACTTTCCGCTTATGTGGACAAAATAAGCGCCATTGGAAAAAATATTTAAATTTTTTTTTCTTGTATATCGAAAATAAATAATTTCAACTTTGTAATTCAGTTTATATAACTCATAAATAATAGACAATGTAACAGAATTTATGATAATCTATATGAAAACATTTAATATTTCTTGAAACACAACAATTATTTGATAAAAATTACACATCTCACAGAAAAGAATAACTGCGATGCTTAAGCAATTTAAATCTTCAAATTTTATTGTAAATATCTGTTTTCCAAAAATTTAAACGCGTTTTGCTCAGAACTGTCTATTGATACGATACTCACGATTTCTCAACTTCTACAGGACCTCTTGACTTGACATTTTTACAGAGCCTTTTATAGGCTTAAGTATGAACTACGCTTATAGGCAAACTCAGATTTGAAAAAAATGTAAAAAACAGTTGCTATTTTGGTGAAAAACTTATTCGTAATGCATACAGTTATACCAGATTAATAATATGCATTTTACTTGGAGGGCTTAAATTATTTAAATTATTTGGAGGGCTGAAATCATGCATAAAACCAAATATTAACTTCTTTGAATTCCAACACTGTTGATTTGTAAAATTTAAGTTTTATTTTTTATGTATCCCAAAAAATTATTCACGTAACAAATTTCATAGTGAAAATATTATTTACCTTTTTAAATCGTTTACAATTCACGCTTCTAGACCAGAATAGTTAGGCACAATTACTGCGTATATGAAAAACTCTAGTTTTCACTGTGATATATCACGATGATCATACAGTTGAATAATTATTTTATACAAAAAAGTTATTTTATTAAACATAATAATATTAATAAATCAAGTTTTATCAGAAAAGTCCTACAATTTGAGTCTATGTTATCTAAACCAAGCATTCAAACTTATAAGGCATTCGCCCACGAAATCGAGTAGTGTTTAATTCTACTATGGCACAGGGGGTAAGAATTAAACAGCAAAGCATCCCCGTTAGGTTTGATGAGAATGACACGGGATGAATATTTCGTGTGAGCCAAGAAACACGAGCAATAACTTAAGGTATAAGTCTTATATCTACGTCTTCAAGTAGCTTTTCCAAGAATCAGCAGTTCATTCACAAGACTAACTGTAACAAGTCGTAATGAAATAGATTAAAATAAAAGATACGAGAGTTTGTTAACTTCACTCAACTTTAGTTTGAACATGTACCTCAACTCTTATTCTATTAATATTGTTCTATTTATTTGTAATTTTATCCACTCGCTTCATGAAACTTCATTTAGGGATATTGTTCAACCGAATAAATCTTTCAAAAAACAAAAAGAGAGTAAATTTGCGCCTACTTTGTTAATAATTATTTGAATTTTTATGGCATAAGCGACAAACTCCATAAAAACATTCATAAAATGGTTAAGTAGCAGAAATTTATAATTATTATTGATATTGTTATTATTATTAAATCAATAAATGCAAAACTGGATTAAATTTTTTTATAATTATACTTGCTGCGCAGGCTCATAGTAAACAATTTCTTTCATTCATTTGTAAAGTTGAAGTACCAGTTTCATTTTAATGTTTTCACTTTTAATATATTTTTAATAAGTATAAATTATCTCACAAGATTGCTAAGCCTCAATTTTATTATACCACTCATGTCATATCACAGTTTACACGAGACTCTTTGATAATATATTCATTTATACATTATATTATAGTCGTCGTCTGTGGGTAGACGAGACGCTTCTATTTTATTATGTATGATGTGAAATTAGAGACAGCTAATTGCAATTAGCACACATGCTAGGTTAAAGATGCTATGTTTTACTACTTTCAAGTTGAATTTAGAAAAAATATAATTAAAATAAAAAATTAATAATTAAAAAATATAACTGTTTCTCAGATTTGAAATCTGGTTAGATAAATGCCAATATCGTTTTTATTATCAGTTAAAATATTTTGCAATGCATATCACAATTACATTAACGTTGTCGTTTGTGAGTTAATATAAACGTAGTCTATTATCTACACGGTTTTTTGTATTTTCTCTTCAATCTTCAACATTTTTCAATACCATAAACTATAATATATAAAGCCCAAAGTTTCTACGATACTTCAGAATTTGCCAATTTCGTTATATTTTAACTATATTTTAATAATGGAAATGCTTACTGATAATATCTCATACTTTTTTTTCAACAGTTACAATTATTATTTTCCTTTTTGCATATATTTTCTAAGATTTATTCCAAATTATTTTAGCATTTTTCTACCCCAAGTAAAGTATAAGCTACTACCCCAAGTAGTGCTTAGCGTAGAAAATCATTCATGTCATTCATCATAACAATTATTTTCATAGTATATTCTTTCTTTACACTGCCCTCAATATTTTCCAGATTTGGGACTTAAATGAAAATTGCGTAACGGATATTTAAATGATTTTTTTACCATCAGAAAAATCCTAACATCTACAAGCCTTAAGTAAACCAAAGTTCTTCAAATTATGCTAATTTAAATGGTACTTAGAAAATCTCTATTTATTGAGCTCAGTTATAAGAATTATAAGAATCCTTTACAATGAAGACTTACAATGATACAATTGAATGGTTATGATAACGGCATTTTGATAGACCCTTAAGAAAACGTTTATTTTACAGTTTTAGGAACAATTACAATAATGTTGTCTAGATGTCTAGAAAAAAAAACTAAAAAAAGATCCCTGCTTTATAACATGTCTATAATATTAGATTTAGAATTTTGACTATTTTTTTGCATTTTATTTTAACCTATACTTTTTAAGTTTGAGATATCTGCATAGGTGCATACAAAATCTCAATACGTTCAAGCTTGGTAAGCAGAGATGTTCCTGATATATTATGGTTTCTTAAATTTTATTCTGATAGATAGATAACTTAAAAATTTTGGATACCTTCCTAGACAAACTAAATCTGATTTTTCTAATTGTATGAATCTTTCAACATGCATTCGATCACAAAAAATTATCCTCGTCGTCGTCTCAAAAAGATGCTTCTGCTCCATAATAGTTAGACAATTTTAGATACAAGATTTTGACGATATATTGCACTTTGTATTAATCTATGCTTTTCAATTTGAGATATCTGCATAGATTTTGATCTGATGAATAGAAATTAAAAACTTTGGATATCTTCCTAGGCATACAAAATGAGTTTTTTACAGGTGTATGAAGGTTTTGCAATGGATTCCATTACAAATATATTAACATCGTCGTCTGAAAAAAGATGGTTTTGCTTCATTATGTCTGCCTATAAAATTAGTTAAAAAATTTTGACGATTTTTTGCATGTTGTTTTAACCAAGGCTTTTGCCATGTTTGCGTAGAAGCATACAAAAACCCAATTATATTGAATTGTAGTTATAAAAAAAATTTACAATATATGAAAGCGTGGTGTGCAGACATGTTCCTGATCTTGCTTAAAATTTGCTTTGATTGATGTCTTGCAATTTTGAGGTATTTTCATAGAGTCTGGATTTTTTCAGTTGCATGGATCTTTGTTTTTTATCATACATTCCATTACAAAAATATTAACATCGTTGTCTGAAAACAGATGCTCGTACTCTATAATGTATATTACAGACATACTATAATGTAAGCCTGTAACATTAGATACAAGATTTTGACTATATTTGCATTTTCAATTCGAAATATCTGCATAGGTGCTTATAAAATTCCAATCTTTATTGTATCTAGTTATATAAGAATCTTTAACAAACATGGTGAGTAAGGAGAGAATAGAGATGTTCCTGACCTATTATAGTTTCTTGAATTCAAGAAAAAACTGATATAGTCTTAAGCGTATTCAAAGTCTGAATTTCTTCAGTGACATAAATATTTAACTTTTAGCGTGCATTCCATTACAAGTATATTTTTATCGTCGTCTAAAAGAAGAGTCTATATAAATATATATTTTTTTTTGCATACTTTTATTGTCAATCAAAATTAAATACACTATATAAATATATGTAAAAAATTCATAATTTAATTCTTGGTATTATAGGCTATGGTTTTCAAAATAGGGATATCTTGACAAGTGCATACAAAATTCCAATTTTGTATCGTCTTCCTACACACTCAAGTATGGTGAGAGATGCATCTGATTTTCCGCGGTTCCTTCTGTTTTACCTGATATCTTCCTGGGCGCATACAAAATCTGAATTTCTTCAGTTGTGTGAATCTTTTCCATGTATTCCATTACATATACATTACCGTCGTTGTCTGTCGTAGAGATGTTTCTGTTCTATTATGTATGATATGATATTACAGTCAGCTAATTGCGCTTTGTGCAACTGTAGCTAAATGTCAGGCACTAAACGTTTTCGGAGCGCAGTCTGTCAGAAACAACTAGAGTGGAGAGATAAGGTTATTTAATAATGTTACAGGAATTTTGAACGACTTGTGATAGGGTTAGTAATATTTTGAGGTATTCTGTTATTAAATGCGATCATGATACATACCAAGAAAGCTGAGGAAAATGAGATTATATTTTAATAACGCGGATACTGATACGAGTATGCACGGAGAAACTAGCGAAGTCAGAGTACAATATAGTAACCGAATATGGAATGGAATTTTTAATACTATACTTATGCCTGTATAATGTAAACCTTAAGAAATTCAAAATGTTTAATACATTTTCCCAGGCTATAACCTAAATTGTCCAAAATCCAAACCACGAACTCCAAAAAAATAGGTTTTAATTTATTTACTCAGTCTGCAACCTATAACCCAAACAGCAGCAAATTCGACAATTTGCACATTATCTTCATATCGTTGAAAATGACGTGATGGAGTTTTTTTTAATAAATACGAACAATTTAGTTAGTTACATGTATTTTTCATTTGGTTCATAGCACATTTTTATAAATAATTGATAAATATTTATGACTAGTAGGGAAAACTGGGTACGGTAGTGATAGTCGTCATAACATCTAAACTATAATGAGATAGGGTCCAAAAAACAAAGTAATTTTGTTAGAACAAGTTTCCATTATTGCTTTTAGTCAGTATTTTAACATTAGCATGATCTGTAGACAGCATTGTTTTTAAAGAGTCGAAATTAAGTTTTCATGTACGAATTCTTTAAACCATATCTGTTAATTGTAGATTGATCTATGTTTGGTATTGTGCTGTATATTGAACATTTTTATTTATTTATCAGCATTTAGCTCTTGCTTAGATAATTTAGCACAGTCATATTGATGATTTGTTCAAACTGTGGGAGTAGTTACAAATATGAAAATATAAACTCCACTTATATAAAAATATATAAAATTTATTGATTATAAAAGTTAATCATAAATAAAATGACAAGTTTAATTGTTTTTCCTCCAAGTCTAGCCTGCTTGATTTCCCCACACACTCCATGCCCAGTGTTGACCTCACAATTTAAAAAATACAGGGAAACTCGTTATAAAAATATGGTGGAAAAGCAAATTATAGCAGTTTTGTGGTACTGGTCATTTAGTAATTCCAATGGAATAAATGACTGTTTCGTCGGCAGATCCACCGTATGGTAATTCGACCTTCCATCATCTTTATACTCTGCATATGGTTCTGAATATAAATCATGTGGTAAATTTCCTGAACTTCGATGTATTGGTGAACTTCGAAGATTCAGCCTCGGTCTACTGTATTAATTTTTATTTCAACAATATTTTGGGTGAACAGATGGCGCTCTTTGAGAATATGAATTTTCGCAATGATTAAAATAATCTTATCGACTTCTGTAGCCCTTTGGATCATACATCGGATTATCGATACGGATGCGAAGGAAAGCGTAATAAAAAGTCATCAACTTGGCAAGATGCAGTTTTAAGTCTTATGCATCAAAAGACGATTTGGTGAGTTAACGGACAAGGAGAGGTTCAATTGCGATTCCAATTACCATTTGATAGTGCATTCAATTCATGACTCAAGGTCTAGGCTCAGAATTAACTGTTGTGTCAGCAACAAACAAAGAGGTCTGCGTATACAAATGGGTATACCGACGAAAGTCCGGTATCAGGTATTAAATGCGTTAACTACGATAAACCGAGGACTGGACATACCTTATAAGTAGTCAGTGAAGACCAGTGATTATGGTGCTGCATTAAAATCTATATTTTTGAATCCTCAAAAAATGCTCCTTCTCTGTCTTCATCTATCACGTCGGGGTCACCAATGTGGGAGTAGTTATGAATATGAAAGTATAAACTCCACTTGTATAAAAATATATAAAATTTATTGATTATAAAAATTAATGATAAATAAAATGACAAGTCCAATTGTTTTTCCTCCAAGTCAAGCCTGCTTGATTTCCCCACAAAATCATGGTATGAAAAAAGTATCTACCACCATTATCCAATATATTTGGAGGATACTAGAAAATTAATTATTGTTCGAAATTTTAAAAATTTACACATGTCTTGTTCCACATATTAGAAATAGTAAATACTTTAATCAATTTAAAAGTGTCTTAAATTTTTTGACAAATTTGTATCAAGTTCTATTTGAAACATTATAACGTTTTTTTTTCATTTTAGATGTCTAACTTCATTTATCAACATATGGTAAATGTGGAACATTATTGTATGATTTAAATCTAAAAAAAAATTATGGTTAACTAGTATATGTTTGCAAACTTCATCAATATTCATTGACATTTCTCGCCAATATTACATGCAATTTTATGATAAATTTATAAAATAATATGGTTTTTAAATTTCTTTAGGTATCAAGTTGCAAAAAATAGTATCGGGTTCTATAACAACTCCTCCGCTATAAGTATATTGTAAATGACTAACTTTTTGTAAAAGCTTTTTAAAGTTTATATTGTGCTACATTACAATGAATTATATCATTGTTTCAACTTTCCGTACAAAGCTATAATAATCAGACTCATAGTTGACATCTATTCATTATATAATTTATGTTGCCCGAAGACTGTTTTTCGTCATTCATATTATTCTAAAGACCACTGATGTTTTATACCAATTGTTAATATAACTTTTGAAGAATTTGAACTGAAGCCATTTGAAAAACTGCATTGTAAAATATAATTAAAATTGAGCATAGAGAGAAATAATTTAATTATTATTTTATCTGAAAACGTATTTAAATACAAATAAACGTAGGAATTGCCAGAGAATTGTAACGAATAGAAAAGATCTGTGGAAGTTAATTCGCAGAATTTTAAAATTAGACTATGAGAATAAATCCAAGAAAATGTAAATTGAGGATTCTGTGTATGACATTTTGCCGACTTGTATAATATTAGTTTCTAAATTTGCAAAACAATTTTAATATAATTTTATAATTTTTTTATGAACCTGTATTTTATTATAGAGACTAACAGCCATACACAGAAAAAGCTACAATTCCATTAAAAATATATTACTATACCATTATTCCATTACAGTTGACAAAATAAAAGCAATTCATTTGTAATAAACACATTTCACTAAAACGCAATTAAATAGCACGCATTATTAATAAATAAAATGGCATTTCATATTTTGTTTCATAAAATTTTTGATTAAGTACAAAATACTAAAAATATATTCATTATTAAAAATAGTAACAATAGCGGTAATGGAAACTCTGCACATTGAATAAAATTGAAATAGAGTGGTTTTAAAAGAGCAATATAGATGTGGAAGTAGTCAGAATTTTTTGTATTGAAAGTAGATATATAATAGTTATAAGTTTGCTTGATTTTTTTTTTAAGTAAAACTCAGTAAAAATGCAACGGAAGTTGCGTTACTCCCGAACTGTTTGTAATTCGCTCTCGATGAAATCATTTCTATACGGGTCGATTGTGATTAGTCGTCGTGTCGTGTGAATAGAATTCTCTCGTTGTATGCGTACCGGCGTACATGAACGAGGAGATCGGAATGTCATTAGATTTTAAGGTTACATCGTAGTACAAATCTTGATTTTATAAAAAATTCCTTAATCAGAAGAATATTTTACCCTGCCTCTCGTAAATAATTGTAATAGAAATAGTAAAACGAATTAAATATTTGTGCCGTTTAAGAAACGTAAGTTTATTGGAATAATTTGTATATTATTTGAATCTTTGAATTTATGAAATGGAAAATATTTTTATAGCCAAGGCAGATGCTACAGCTGCTCAAAAGATAAGATTGTATCGCCAGCGAAAAAGTAAAAAAAAAATAATAATACAAGCAGTCAATGAATGTATGTTGATTTTATTTACATAAAGTTCTTCAAACACAATTACATAATCAGTGAAATTTTAAAAACAAAATCTTTTAATGCGTTGTTTAATATAATCCTCTGTGTGAACATATATTATAGAATTTATTGATCAGCAATTACTTCATTTCTCTAATGAAGATTCTAGTCGCAAATGCTAATTACAATGACAAACCGATCATGTCATATCTAAAGTATGTATATAAAGTAATTACATTATTGTTTTCAAATATCAAATATTTTTAGTGCTATTAAAAATATATAATTTATAATTTATTATTATATAAATATGTATAATAGTTGACATTAATGAATGTGTGCATCATGAGTGTTATCATGTTACTAATAAATATTATTCAAAATAGTTATATGATGTATTTATTTTTAAATGAATTGCATCTCATACAATAGCAAAAAAGTTTTACTTCAATTGACTAAAATTACATATTTGAAAATATATTGAAATCGAAAATTATATAGAAAACATTTTTCTAAATTTTATTCACTTTTAAAAAAGATTCAACTGGCTTAACAATCACGATAAATTATATCAATAAAAATTCATCACTTTAAAAAAGAATATGGAAATCATTTTCATTTTTCCATAAACGTCATATAGATATTCATTATTGCATGCTCTAAACAAAAATAATTTGTTTAATATTATTTGATATACTCGTATTTGATAGACGTATATGAAAGATTATTGAATACTTCGTTGTACAAAAATTAATATGGTAACATATTACAAAAGTTGATTATATATTGTAAAATTTATTAATCATTATAAACAATGTGAGTAGAAGTCTGCTAATAACATTTTGCACTTTACTCACTAGAGGAATTAATTAAATGGTGTTTTCAATATACCTGATTGATGTAAATTAATTATAGAATAATGTTTTACATTAAAGCAATCAACATTTTTTAAATACATATATTATTCATAATTCAACGGTGAAAACAATGCCCATCAATCGATGTTCGAATAATACT